CCCCCCCCCCCCCCCCAAAATCGGAATCAAATCTTCAGATTCTGCTGAATTAAATCAGGACAGTGATCCGAATCAGCGAATTGAATCGCTGTCCTCCAAATCAAGCTGAATCCGAATCAAATACTGCCTGCTTCACACACCCCTATTACTCAGGCATGCAGAGATTAAATCAGGAAGGCCAAAGCACAGTTGAAATTGTAGCTAGCAAGAGATGTCATGGGTAACGAGAAGGATTTCTACAAGGATGTCATCAACAAGTGGAAGGTCAGGGAAAGTGGATCCCTTACTGAATGGGGGAGGCAACCTGGTGATGGATGGTATGGAAAAGGCTGATGCGCTCAGTGCCTTTTTAATCTTAGTCTTCACAGGCAAGGTCAGCTCCCAGACTACTTCACTGGGCAACACAGTTTGGGGAGAAGGTGAGTAGCCAACAGGGGTGAAAGAACAGGTTAGGGACTATTTGGAAAGGCTAGACATGTACATGTCCATGGGGCTGGATCCAAGGTACCTGAGGTTGCTAAGGGAGTTGGCTGATGCGATTGCAGAGCTGCTGCCCATCATCTTTGAAAATTTGTGGCGATTAGGAGAGGCCCCAGACAATTGAAAAAAGGCAAATAAAGTACCTATCTTTAAAAAAGGGAAGAAGGAGGGAGGATCCAGGGAACTACAGACCATTCAGCTTCACCTTGGTCCCTGAAAAAATCATGGAACATGTCCTCAAGGAATCCATTTCTAAGCACGTGGAGGAGACAGTGAACAGTCGGGGTGGATTCACCAAGGGCAAGTCATGCCTTACCAACCTGATTGCCTTCTATGATGAGATGAGTGGCTCTGTGGATGCAGGAAGAACAATGGACATGATGTATCTTGCCTTTCATAAGGCTTTTGATATGGTCTCCCACAACATTCTTACAAGCAACCTAAGAAAGTACGGGTTGGATGAAGGGACTGTAAGGGGGATAGAAAATTGGCTGCATCGTTGGGCTCAAAGGGTAATAATATTATTAGGAAAACTTTCTTACAAAGAGGGTAGTAAAACCCTGGAACAGGTTACCCAGAGAGGTTGCAGAACCTCCATCCTTGGAGGTTTTTAAGACCCGGCTAGACAAGGCCTTGACTGGGATAATCTAGCTGGGGACGATCCTGCTTTGAGCAGGGGTTGGACTAGATGGCCTCCTGAGGTCACTTCCAACCCTCATTTTCTATAAACTGTGCAGTCCCTGTGCAGTTCACTGTGGGGGATATGGGTTTCAAAATTGTCTGGCTTTGAAAAATACTACATTTTGGCTGACCTCAGTTCCCGCTGAAGGCAGTGGTAAAAGCTCCAGTTAAATCAACCCAGACACTTCTGAAAATGGAAGACCAGGTAGCGTGTTTGCTTCCTAGGATGCATTTTCTTCAGTGCACTGAGCTCTTACCAACATTACTGAACCCTTGTTTGATGGGAGAGAAGTAATCTATTGTGCTTGGAGTAGAGTTGCCAGAATTGGTGAGAATTCATACATCATCCAGGGCTTTTTGCAGTATTCAAACTAATTTTTTTTAATGTAGAAAAACAACATGTTATGTTCCAAATCCTTCTGTCCATTGCACCGTGGAGCCTGATTTGCAAATGGGCAAATCATAAAACCCTGACAGAAAACTTAGCTCTAGAGGTGATTGTTCGTGGGATGGAA